GCATTCTTTATTTTAAAGTCTATTTTATCTGATATGAGTATTGCTACTCCAGCTTTTTTTTGATTTCCATTTGCATAGAATATCTTTTTCCATGCCCTCACTTTCAGTCTGTATGTGTTCCTAGGTCTGAAGTGGGTCTCTTGTAGACAGCATATATACGGGCCTTGTTTTTGTATCCATTCAGTGAGCCTGTTTATTTTGGTTGGAGCATTTAATCCATTCACGTTTAAGGTAATTATCGATATGTATGTTCCTATTACCATTTTCTTAATTGTTATGGGTTTGTTTTTGTAGGTCCTTTACTTCTCTTGTGTTTCCCACTTAGAGAAGTTCCTTTGGCATTTGCTGTAGAGCTGGTTTGTTGGTGCTGAATTCTCTTAGCTTTTGCTTGTCTGTAAAGCTTTTGATTTCCCTGTTGAATCCGAATGAGATCCTTGCCGGGTAGAGTAATCTTGGTTGTAGGTTCTTCCCTTTCATCACTTTAAATATATTTTGCCACTTCCTTCTGGCTTGCAGAGTTTCTGCTGAGAAATGAGCTGTTAACCTTATGGGAGTTCCCTTGTATGTTATTTGTTGTTTTTCCCTTGCTGCTTTTAATAATTTTTCTTTGTCTTTAATTTTTGTCAGTTTGATTACTATGTGTCTCAGCGTGTTTCTCCTTGGGTTTATCCTGCCTGGGACTCTGTGCTTCCTGGACTTGGGTGGCTATTTCCTTTTCCATGTTAGGGAATTTTTTGACTATAATCTCTCCAAATATTTCTTGGGTCCTTTCTCTCTCTCTTCTTCTTCTGGGACCCCTATAATGTGAATGTTGGTGTGTTTAATGTTGTCCCAGAGGTCTCTTAGGCTGTCTTCATGTCTTTTCATTCTTTTTTTTTTATTCTGTTCCACAGCAGTGAACGCCACCGTTCTGTCTTCCAGGTCACTTATCCGTTCTTCTGCCTCAGTTATTCTGCTATTGATTCCTTCTAGTGTATTTTTCATTTCAGTTATTGTATTGCTCATCTCTGTTTGTTTGTTCTTTAATTCTTCTAGGTCTTTGCTAAACATTTCTTGCATCTTCTCAATCTTTGCCTCCATTCTTTTTCTGAGGTCCTGGATCATCTTCACTATCACTATTCTGAATTCTTTTTCTGGAAGGTTTCCCATCTCCACTTCATTCAGTTGTTTTTCTGGGGTTTTATCTTGTTCCTTCATCTGGTACATAGCCCTCTGCCTTTTCATTTTGTCTATCTTTCTATGAATGTGGTTTTCATTCCACAGGCTGCAGGATTGTAGTTCTTCTTGCTTCTGCTGTCTGCCTTCTGGTGGATGAGGCTATCTAAGAGGCTTGTAAGAATGTTTCCTGATTGGTGCCAGATTCTGTATCTTTTTGTTGAACTACCTTTGTTAATTGTGTTATTCAAGTCCACTATTTTTTTTTTACTACCTTTTGTCTGCTTCATCTACCCATTACTATATGAATAATGCCCTCACTGTCCCCCCACCTTGTTTGAATAACTACTAAATTTGGCATTATTGTCATAGTTTTACATAATTGGTGCTTCTTTGGCTATGCCTTCATGTTTAACAGGTTCTTTGCTCATAATTTCTCCTTTTATGTTACTATTTTTTGTAGGTTCAATTTCTATTTTTTTAAAAAACATCCCTTTGTAGTTCCTCACTCAGAGTCTGGTAGTGATAACTGAAACAAACACTCCTTCATTCTTATATGATATGTTAGCTAGGTATAGAATTCTAGGACATTGGTTATTTCTAACAGTGCTTTGAGGATGCTATTCCATTGTTGCTGTCGAGAAGTATGTTGTCAGTCTAATTGCCATGTCTTCACAGATAATGTGTCTTTTAGCTTTGTGTATGAGTCATCTCATTGCTTTTGGTATTCTGAAATTTCACTGTGCTATTTCTATGTGTGGGTTTTATTTTTATTATCTTGCTTGAGACTTTTTGTGACTCATGAATCTGATGATTCCTACCTTTCATCAGATATAGGAAAATTTCAGTCATTTTCTCTCTTCTGTTAGACATATGTTGGATATTTTTATTCCACCCTATTTTCCATGCTTCCGCTTTTCTATCTCTTTATCCCTCTTTGTTGCTTGAGTGGTATGGTCACGCTGGCTGGTGAGAACCAATCGTGTGCATCTTTTCCAGCTCCATTTTCAGTAATGTCATGTTGGTAGCTTGAAACTGGCCATGGTGGGAGTATTTACACCATGGAAACAAGCAAATCAGGGCTTTGCTTTCCCCCCAGAGAGCTGGCTTATCCGCACATCACCATTTAGATCTATCTCCTAGTTCACTAATTCTCTCTCAACTCTAATTGACAGATGATGTCTAGTCCATCAATTGACTTTTCTTTTCTATTTCATTGACTATATTTGTAATTTTAGAAGGTAAATCTGGCACTTTTTCAACTCTATTATTTTTCTTATTGTCTTGTTCTTTTATCAAGTTTTGATTTCTTCTTTATAACAGCAATTTAAAATATATTTCTTTTATAACCTCTGTACAAAAACTTTATTATCTGAAGTTTTTAGAGCTTGAATCTTGTTATCTTTATGTCTGCTGGGTCTTGCTTGAAGTAGATTGTTGCCTATGTTGCATAATTTTGGATTGTAAGCTCATCTTTAGAAGGGTTTTATGCTAATCTTTTAATATGGAGTTACTGAATCTCACAGGAAGTATAAATTGGAATCTCAATGCTAAATGAGGGCTTTCCTATCACTATAAATTCTCAGAGGAGACTTTTCCCCTCCTATTCAGAGTCCAGACCAAGGAAATAAACTTCCTTATTATTTTCTTACTTCTCAGAGTGAATTTTTTTCTTGTTAGCTTTCTCACAGAGGGGGTAGTCCTTCAAGACTGCCAGGATCACAAAGGGGTCTAAGCCCATCTCCCTACATCATGCAGACCCAAGACTCATTTCCATCAATCTCCAAGGAGCTGTTAAAACCCAAGCACATTAGTTGGCAAGATTGCCACCCCCACTGTAATACCCTGTAGTCAGAACATCAAGTCCTATTTGCCAGTTCTATTCTTAAACTTTCTTTCCTTGCTTTTAAACTTTCTTCCCTTCCCTTCCTCCTTTCCTTCTTCTCCTTCTTTTTTGTCCCTTGTCATTCCCTCTACTTTTAAAAATGGGATTAAACACAGATTCAACAGGATATTTGTCCTTTGCAATGGCAGAGTTTTCAGATTTTTCTAATGTGCTGTATTGCCAGAAATGGAAGTCCCAGCCCTAAGATGTCTTTCTCTCCAGGCTTTAAGATCTAAAAAACTAAAAGTGGTTTGGGATTAACAGATACACACTACTGTATAGAAAATAAACAACAAGGACCTACAGTATAGCACAGGTTATATTCAATATCTTGTAATAACCTATAATGGAAAAGAATCTGAAAAAGAATATATATGCATATGTATAAGTGAATCACTTTGCTGTACACCTGAAACATTGCAAATCAACTATACTTCAATTAAAAAATACTAACTAAAAATGGGACCTATGTTCCTAGGGAGAAGGTGGTGCATGTTGGCAAAAAGTCAGGGCTCTGATGATATTTTGGAACTCACTCTCAGAGGACTGCGGGTTAATTTTTTTTTTTGGTTGGCAAAGACTCGACAGTTAACCCTGCTTCCTGACATCATGGGAGCCTGCCCAGCTGGTTTTAACTCTGGCTCTCAGAGATTTTTCTATAAGCGAGATGATTTGTAATTCCATCTATCAGACATCCTTATGTCTCATTTCAGATTTAGCCCATAGGGTTTCACCTCCTAAAAGGTCAGGAAAGGATCTAGAGGTCCTCTAGTCTAACCCATCATTTTACATATGAGGAATCAGGCTCAGGAGATTATGGGATCAGCCCAAGATCACACAGGGCGATCGAAGGAGATCTGAGACCAGACCAGGGGTCTTGATTCTCTCTCGGGCTTTCCCCACATAGCACAAAGCCTCTTCTCCGCCTCTTCCTTGAGATGGTGTATTAGAAGGTGGGCAAGCCTGTGTGGCGTGGTGACTAAGAACCCAGAGAATGCCTATCATAATGCCTGGCACATAGTAGAAACTTCACAGATTTAAGTGCCCTTCCCTTTGGCTTCTCCATGTATTAGTTTCCTGCAGCTGCCAACAAACTACTGCAAGCTTGATGGCTTAAGACAACAGAAATTTATTCTCTCACAATTCTAGAAGGCCAGAAGTCCAAAACCAAGTTGATGACAGGACTACACTTCCTCCAGGGGCTCTGGGGAGAATCTGTGCCTTGCCTCTTCCAGCCACTGCCAGCCATCCTTGACCTGTGCCTGCATCATTTCAATCTCTGCCTCGGTCTGCACATTGCCTGCTCTGTGTGTGTCTCTTTCTGATCTCCCTCTGCCCCTCTCTTTTTTTTTTTTAAGATTTTTTTTTTGACGTGGACCATTTTTAAAGTCTTTATTGAATTTGTTACAATATTGCTTCTGTTTTAGTTTGCTTGCTTTTTTGGGGCACGAGGCATGTGGGATCTTAGCTCCATGACCAGGGATCGAACCTGCACCCCCTGCATTGGAAGGCAAAGTCTTAACCTCTGGACCACCAGGGAAGTCCTTACCCCTCTCTTATAAGGACATATGTGATTGCGTTTGAGGCTCACTCAGTGAACCCAGGATAAGCTCTTCCTCTCACAATCCTTTATTCAATCACATCTTTTGCCGTAAAATATTCACAGGTTCTGCGAACTAGGAAGTGGACATATCTTTGGGGGCCATTTTTTTCTGCTCACCACACCCAGAGGCCAACTCACGATACTTCCAAGTCCTGCTTTTCTTTTTCCGGGGATAGTTTACTTTCTATTTCCAGTGCATGATCTGACCCTGAAGCGTGCTTCACTCTTCCAGATCTGGCTATGCAGAGGGACTGCTTGCCTTGCTGCTCCACTAAGCCCCTTTGCAATGAAGGTGCAGCAGTTCTATCCGGCACTGACTTGGTACCAGGTCATGCAGGCCCGGAAGGCCCTCACAGTCTCTTGTGGGTAGCTGATAGGAGCGTGTTTGCTGTGGGTACCAGGGCACAGATGCTCTGCGAGCACCAGGGACGCAGTGATGTGGATGCTTAGGTTCATGCTACATTCTTACCTTCATTCTGCAAAAATATGTTGAGTATCCACCATCCAGCAGATAAGAGTTTAGAGGTAAGAGGCACAGCCTGTGCCCTGAATTAAGGAGCTCACAGTTGAATGGGGGGTGAATATAAGCAAAAAGGATACTAACACAAAGGATGATGAGAGCTTTGATAGAGGGATGGCCAGGGTGCTGAGGGAGCACAGAGAAGGGGCACCCAACCAGACTGGGGAGGGAGACAGGGAGTCGAGCTAATTCAGAAGGGCTTCCTGGAGGAAGTGGTTCCGGGGCTGCATCTCAAAGAATAAATTGAGAGAGCCAGGGTAGTAAGGGGGTGGAGAACATTCCTCACAGAAGGAGGAAAGGGAGCAAAGTCCCGAGAAACGAGAATGGGTGGACTGTTCCTCATCGCCTTTCCTGGCATCTTTCTCACTGTGCCCATCTGCCCAGCCGCCCCCCACCACACGCTGGCTGAACCCGGGTGCCCGTGCCCTGTGGTGTTAATGCTGGGGTACTCCTGCCACAGATGCCTATGTTTTAATCTAAATAAAGTTGATTCAGGTGACAACAGACCTAGAGTTCTCACTCAGAAGTCCCGGGTCTCACGACTGTGGCTTCATCCTCCTGAAACTTTCTCCACAGGGATCTTGGCCTCGGACCCCTATGACTTTGCCAACTCCTGGGCCCTGAGCAGTGGGGAACAGCGGTGCCAGCGGGCATCCCCTCCCAGCAGCATGTGCAGTGTCTCCTCCGAGCTGCAGAAGGTAGGTCCACCCAGGCTTGATGTGGGCTGGGGGGTGCGGGGTTTCTGGAGTCAAGAGGCAGAACGATAGGCAGTCCCAGGTCCTCCATCCAGGGGAGGAGTGAGTCCCTCTGGCTGCTCCGTGTCCCACGGGCCCCTTTCCTCCTGAAAACCAGCTGGGGCTGGAGTCGCGTTGACGCCAATCCTAATACTGTCCTGGGCCTGGAGCTCTAAAGATGGGCCTGGTCAAATGAGTTGGTACCGCGAGCGACTATACTTTTCTGTTTTACGTTCCAACGCCCTCTCAGCCCCAAATATCACCATCATCGCCTGCCACCTGTGTGAAATTCTGGGGTAGAAAACCATTCCTTTGTAAGGGCCCAAGAAGTGGTTGTTATAAAGCACAAGTATGGGGCAAGGCCTCACCAGCACATCAGCAGGAAGGGGGTTACCTCCTGGTGGGGGAGGGAAGAAAGCTGGGGGGAGGGAGGAAGGTGGGGAGAGGCAGGGGCAAGTCCTGATGCCCCCAGCTTGGATGTTGTAATAGTTTCCTGAGGCTGCAGTAGCAAATTATCTCAAACCCAGCGGCTTACAGCCACAGGAATGTATTCTCACGGGTCTGGAGGCCAGAAGTCGGAATTTGGTTTCAAGGTGTCTGCAGGGTGGACTCCCTCCAGAGGCTCTAGGGGAGAGTCCCCCCTGCCTCTTCCAGCTCCTGGGGGCCTTGGGGTTCCTTGGCTTGTGGCTGCCTCCGCCACTCGCTGCCTCTGTGGTCCTGTGCCTCCTGTCTGTGTGCTTCTGTCCGGAGACAGAGCAGATGGGGGCTTCTCCCGCCCCTCCCCACACGCCCCTATTTCTCCCTGTACTTAGCAGCTCTTTCCCCTTCAGGGTTACCCTTTATGATCGCACTTGGAGAGGAGGGGGTCTGGGCGGGAGGGAGTGGGCAGGGCTGCACGCTGTCTCCTCCTGTCGCGGGTGGAGAAGGACCTCCCTCTATGGACGACCTCCCTCTCCCCCTTTGGGGGTCAGGCTGCCTGGGCTGAGGGAGGAGAGAGTGGCATGGCCCCAGATGTGGCTGGGCTCTCGTCAGCACATGGATGCCCTGTCCAGGCTGCCCTCAGAGACTCACTGTCTGGGGAACGGGGTTACTTGGAGGTGATGTGAGTCAGGTTCCCTGGAAGCAGAGGTTTGTGGGCAGCGAGTGACCAGGGAGGCTCTCAGGAAGTGAGAGTGGCGGGGCTGGGCAGGGGGAGAAGCTGAATACCACGTAGTTACAACCGAGGCCTCAGCTGGTCCTTCAAGGAGCTCTGAAATCTGCGCTGGCCCCATGGGGCAGGGGGGCCCACACCGACCAGTCGGTCATTGGATGTTGGCTGCCTCTGGGCAAGGAGACTGGGTGGCTCCCTTGGGCTGAGAGCAATGCCTGCAGAGTGACTCAGCTGTGAGTCCCCACCAGCCAACACCCTCAGCTCCCGGTGGGTGAGTCCTTCTGCTATGACACCCAACCCCTGGTCTACGTGGGGGACGTATACCGCACCCAACATCCCCCGCAGAGCCAGCTGCTTGACAGCATCGCCTCCCTACCTTCCACCCCCCGAGCAACCACGCTGCTCCAACCCACAGCCGTGCAGGGGGAGGGCGGCCCCTGCTTATCCCCGGGACTGTCGCCATGACGGGACTTGACAGGCCACATAAGCCCCTCGCCTGGGCCTGTGCGGTTCCGCAGGACGAGGAGGAAACCAGAGCTGGCGCTGGCGCTGGGGGTTAAGGAGCTGCCCCGAGTCACCAGCTGGCATTGCGGAGTCAGGATTCACGCGCTGCCCGCCCGCCCCCATACCGCCTCTGCTGTTCTGCCTGCACCATCTCAGGCTGCCCAGGTGAATTCCACCCTTGTGTTTTCCTTCAGGAGCTGGGCTTCCTGAATCTTGAGGTTCCTTTCAGCTCGAAAATTCTTTGTGTGTCTCTCTGCATTGGACTAAAGAGATGGTTGATAATAAGTCTCACTAAATATTCAGTGGATGGATGGATGCAAATTAGGTAATTTATCTAGGGATTGGGACACCCCCATGATCACAGCCCCGAATCCTTCATTTGTAAGACCAAATCTGCATGTAAGTAGAGAAACTCCAGCCCTCTCCTACTCCAGTAGCTAAATAAAACACACGGCCACCTGCACACGCACAGACCTACCTTAGCGTGAGAGAGCTTCAGTGTTAGCTGCCCAGACTTTCTGTTTTCATGGAAAAATTTGATCTTCTGAACCAAGGAGTACGTCAGCACCAGGAAAACGCTCTGGGTTGTGCTCGAGCCAGCTGCCTGGACCGTAAACACAATTTCCAGTTTATCAACAAGTACATTCCTAACGCCTCTTTTCCTTGGGTTTCCAGTGTTTCAGTGGTGCTAGGTTTTCCAGCTGGTCCGGAAACATCTCTGTCACCTGGAGCGTAGCCCAGTACTGGCAACTGACAGAGGCAGACCAAGTTCTAACCCCGGGGGGAGGGTGTTATCCTGGGGAAGGGGGGTAGTTTCCTCTTCTTTCCAGGAAAACTTTGAAGTAGCAGCCACTTGTCCTTGTAGCTCATTACGTGTTTCCCATCCCTGGGCCACTTTGTAACTCTGCCCGGCTTTGTAACTCTGGGCAAGACACTTGCCTTCTCCAAGCCTCAGTTTCCACATAGGTAAAATAGGCACAGGACCAGTGCCTGCTCCTCGAGGCCATCGTAAGGATAAGGGAACAAGTGTGGATTGCTTAGCCCAGCGGGACTCAATTCTACGAGCTGTTATTGTTATTCCTTTTGTGTCTGTGTTTGCCCCTGGAGTGGCCGCACTTTGAGAGTAGGAGTGGGAGAAGCAGGCCAAACACACACAGTACTTTAAGTGTAAGCTCAAAACTCATTCTTTCTCTCCTCCCCTCCACCCAGCTATAACCCCATTCTTTTGGAGGGGGGGATCGATCTGAGCACAGCTGGGGGTTAGAAAGAGAGCAGGTTGCCTGCACACATGGACACGGAGGGGGGGGGAAGTGCAGGAGTCAACTTTTCTTCTGGGGCTTCTTGTAACCCAGGGCCATTTGGGATTGAGGGCACTCCAGGAGCCCAGTGCATCAGGGAGAGGAGGCGGAGGGATTTTATCCTCTCTTTCTTTTATTTCCAAACGTACACTTCCATAGGTGGCTGTGGTTCGCTGTCTCCCACCCTTTTCAGTGTTCTCTAGGCAGGGGTAGGATTGCGGGGTTGGTGGAGGGGAGGGGACGGGAAGTTAGTTGGTAAGCTGGGGTGGGGGCAGGTAGGTGCCTCTGATACCGAGGGCGTGGGCTTGTCTCACTTTATTTTGCAAACACAGGCATCGCGGAGTAAGTGCAAGACAAGTGTTCCCACCCTCGGGGTACAAGGAATGCTCTCATTTACCCTGAAGAAGTGGGAGGTGAAGACAGGATCTTCAAACGGGGAACCTGATACAGAGGCGGAGTAGAGGAGGGAGCTGGGCACTTTGTCTCCCGGATACAGAGGGGGAGGGCCTGGGGGGTGGGGCATTGGGGAGGTGCTGGGAGAGAATCCAGAGAGGCCTCATTTGTCTCCCAGGTGCCTTTGGAGGCTCCAGCTGCACACTTGCTACTCAATTTGTCTCCTGGGTGCCTTGAAGTTCTTACTAACCAGTGTCCTGGGAGCAGCTTAAGAAATTGGTTACCAAGTTTTCAGTGCTGGGCCGAGGCCCCCCAGACACTCAGACCTCCCAAGGCACAAGCTCCTTCCAGGTCCGAACTCCTGTTTCAGGTTGTTTACCCGAGAAGAGGGGCTGGGCTTTGTCTCAGCCAATCAGGCTGTGTTTGCCAACGAGCGGGGCGCCCCCCTTTGCTGAGACGCACAAAGACATCTCCTGGGAGGTGATTGATGCGGTCTCTGGAACTGTCCACAGTCTGCTTAGTCCCGCTGGGTCCGTGGGTTCAGAAGTCGGGGCTGGTAAATGGGCATCATTGACAAGGCTTTGCCATTGTGGCTCCAAGAGCCGTATTCAGTGGCAAAGTGTTCCATAGGGGAGACAGCACTGGCTGGAAAGCTTTCCTTGAGCCGCCAGAATCTATTCGCCCACTTCTCTGGAACTTTCTGTCTTTCTAGTGTGGCAGCAAGGAGTCAGCTCATTCTGAGAGCCAGGTCATATTACTTATACCCGGGGGATGAATGTTTCCTTGTTATGCCAACAAAACCCGGAGCCTCTCTGCTGGGATGAATAATGGCTTGTTTAATGGCACACAGATTTTCGGGTTTTTTTTTTTTTTCTAGCTTTTCAGAGGGCAGGACTGCTGGAGTCTGGGGCTCAGGGTGCAGACCTAGTAACAAAAAGCGCCCAGCTATAGATGCTCAAATAATCGGCGTTAATTTGCAGGTAACTCTACTACACAATGAATGTTTGAGAAAGATCCTTAGGTCACTTTTAAAAAAACATTTTTAATTCTGGGGAATGTCAGCAAGGGCTGAACCTTACACAGGGATCCTGTTTATGTCCTGTAGTCCTGTCTGCAACGTGGAGCCCACGGCTCCAGGAGGCTGGATTTAGGCTGCAGCTGGTCCATGCAATGGTCTTTCTAATTAGAAAAAAGGCACCCCTTTCTCAAGACACTTTACCATCACCTGCTGGGAAATTGCCATAGTAAACGTTATAAATGTACCTAGAATGTAGTACACACGTATGCTGTCTATCATGGGAACTGTAGCCTTGGGTGTGTTGCCACTGCACTGTGTGACTTGCAGAGCTATACTTGATGGCCATGAACTTTGCCTCGCTTCCACTGGGAGGTGTCGTCGCTGCAACCCTGCTCCTCCTTAGGATAAGCTCCTCCAGAGTGGAGGGCCGTCTCCTGCTTCTGCTGCTCACATCTGAACATGAGGCCACCTCTGTTACCGAACTCAGGTCTGGCTGCTGGCTGCTCGCTGCTTGAAAGTCAATACTCAGGAGGCAAGTGCTGGTAGAAACGGAAATGTTGCTCTAATCCGAAAGCCGGCAATCTGGGGAGAAGGCGGACTC